TCACGTCCTTACCAAAACTCGATTGGACCGGCGGTGAGGTGGAGAAGGTAGAGAAGAACACGGCGAAGCTTCTGAACGAAGCTGGCCGATGCGTTTTTTGCGGTGGTGAGCACGCGACGACGACGGCGACGCGCATGGTCGGCAATGGCGGAGCTGCTTTGCTCTATTGTTGCGGAGCTACATGCGAGCGGAGGAAAAGCAAATGGAGCGGAAGCGAAGTCGGTCGGCAGTAAGCGCGGGGTTCTCATGTCGCGACCAACGCGCGCGAGATGCGCGCGCGGCGCAGCGTGGCTTCGCTGAGCGAAGGCGGCGACGGTGGCAACAACGCGGCGCTTGCTTTTTTACGAACCGGTCAGCACGACGTTCGCGAGCGTTTTACGAAAAATCGCGATTCAGTGTTAATGACAAGCCTGACAGCACGTATTCGACGCGTCAACACGGCTAATCCATCGATCTATTGCAAAAACAGTATACATGAAAAATGTAGGCCTACCATCCATCTACAACTTCTTTTCAAAGACCAACACCTAAATCGTCGTGGATCCGAAGTTACATGAAGCCAAAGTTGGCTTGATCCAACTGAAAATGCAGTTATGACTTAGAAATATTTTTCAGTAAGACTCAGCAGGGAAAAATCGACTTGTGGGCCTTGTTTGAACATGTTCTAGCCATTTTCATGAGATGGTCATATTGAGACTTTTGTTCCTTGATAAATTGGCTACAATTTTGGTAAAGAGTGCACAGCCATGTAAAGCCTCTAAGCTGGTCTTTTGAACCAGTCAAACAGTGACACTCCGAGGGTCAATTCAAGTCAAACCTCCACTTGAGGGCATTTTGGTCAATTTGATCTACATGAACAATGTCCCAACAAGTAACCTAAGTGTAGTTAAGGTGTAATAGACCATAATCAACCACTTTACAAAATTGTTATACCAACTTCTAATGATCACATGTGATAAAGCAACTAAAACAAGCAATTCACTCATATGTTGCAATGCAATGTTTCACATGTTTCATGACTTTGTTGTCATTTTATAATTGCCACATTACTACCATATTGGCATGTTTCAAAGTATGAGAATTTCATGTTACATTCACATGTTGCACTACTACCACTCTAAGCAATCAAGCATGAAACACATACAATTTAAAATGTTGCATATGCATGTTTCAGTAACAATGACATGCTGAGATAGATGATGCACATGTTTATGAAATGAAATATAATTAGTGGAAGCCAAACACCTAGGGTGTTACATACACCGTAACACCGTGCTCATTTCATTGCATTAATCGAATGCATCAATTTATATACCCAACTATGGTCGCGGCCACTCATGTTGTTGAACCGGGACCATGCATTAACCTGTACGTCATGGCAGCACAGCACCTTGCATATACAAGGCCAGCCAGCGCAAGCACGTTGCGCGTCTTATGATGGATCCATGGGGCATGCATGGGCCACGGCCAGATTGGCATAGTACTGTATATGACAGATCGACAGTGCAGCGAAGCAAGCAAAGCATGGCGGCATGGCAGCGTCATTCTTCGTTGTCCGGATTCATTTGGAGCCGCCGCTATATGGGATGGCCGGCCGGGGGAGGGGCGGCGACGAGTCGACCGACGAGAGCGCTGGTGCCTGCCCCGCCGCCGCTCGCCGGCCTCGTCGCCAATAGTAAATGAACGGCACGTCGGCGTCGGGCGCACGCCGGTAATCGATTCGTCCCGTACGCGCGAGCCAGGCCGGGGTGCCGTCCTGCCCTGCGCCGCTGCTCTGGATGACGAGACGATACACGCCGCACGGCCGGCCTGGAGGGAAAAAAATAAAGCGCGTGTACGGCTGCCACGTACGGGCAAATTAAAACCGCGGCGGGGGCCAAGCTGTGGGCAGGCGGAGGCCACGATCGAGCATTCGAGCCAGGTTTCCTGCCGGCCAGTGCCACGCCGGCATGCCTCGTGGTTGGTCGATCCTGTTTGATGCCGTCTCTAAAAAAATCATTCTCGCTTCAAAAAGTTAATAATTTTTAATTTTAAACAAATATATTTAACAAAATATTTATATTTAGAGTACATAACGAGTACCGTTAGGTAGATCGTTGAATATATTTTCATAATAAACTTATTTAAAAATATAAATGTTGCACGTACACGATTTCCGTAGTGACTATTTTTCTTTTAATGACGGAGAAAGTACTAATATACGTACGTTCCAGTACGTGCCTTCTGGACCCACCGGGTGCGCGTGTTCGGTTGATGGCCGTGCGGTGTGGACGCGAATCGGCGCGTTCCCATGAGCTCCACTGCTCCAGCCTAGCGTCGCTAGCAGGCGGATTCGGACGGTCGTTTGTCCCGGGCAGCCTGAACGATGGATGGGCTCGCGCCACCAACCGGATGTGATGGGGTCTGGTCGTCTGGATCTGGATTCGGCATTGCATTTGCATGCATCATATTCATAGAGCGACAGTGCGTGATTCCGTTACCACCACCACTCCATCGGTACGTGCACGAAATGGTTTGGTTTGGTTTCAATGGTGTACAGCTAGCAGCGTTACGGGCTGTGCTTTTCTTTCGGCTCCCTCAAAAAGTCTACCACCCCCAGCCGTACTACAGTGCGTGGCGTGATGGAGAGGAGACTGGAGACCCACCAAAGAAGTCTCGGTGCATAAAAAACGCTTCGCTCGGTGCCTTTAAAAAGTCAATAAATGGACCACAGTGCGTTTATCGATTGCTTCACTGGTCAGCGCTTTGCGGTATTGAATTGGCTGCTATTTTGCCAGGCAGCGAAGCCAAGCCAAGCCGGCGAACGGACGGTATTTTTCTTCCATAATAAATCAGCATAAACATTAATATAGGTCAAATATTAGCGAAGCGAACAGGGTTGGTCGACCTGTGAACTGTGCGCGTCTCGCCCGTGCACTAGATACCATCCAGCGTTTCAAGCTTGGTACGAATGTTTGGTCGACCTGTGAACTGTGTCCCCAGCGTCTGCGACTTTGCGAGATGTGATAAACTCGCCAAGGAGGGGAGGATTACCGGCGCGTAGAGTACATATAGACAGCGCCGCGCAGCACAGTACTACAGGTCATCGAGTGCACTGCCGCACTGGGCACTGGGCACTGGACACTGGTCCAAGCGCAAGGGGGCGAGGTGGCCGTGGCTCAATGCCTGCAGCTACGACGATCATGCGACTGCGAGGAACCAAGCGGAAGCGGCCCAGATGAAGTGAACCAACCGGTAGATGCTTACCAGCACTGCACATGCCACTCCACATGTGTGTGCAGCTGTCAACAACAGGGGTGCCAGGCGTCAGCCACCTTTTCTTAGCGTGGGCGCTGCTCCAGTGATGATCAGAGTTCAGAATAAGATCATCATGACTTCCTATAAAATAGAGGGTACATGGCCGATTAATGTATCCAACAATTCAATCGTCTTTTTACATCTACAACTCTTTTATGTCCTCTTCCAACCCTATATTGATGTTCATTACTTGATCCGACGATCTAGGATAACGCCCTAGGCTTGCCAGCCAACCTAGGGTAACCAGCGACATCCTTGCCCCCATGGTTCCCTTCCGGCCGAGAGTTTCGACGGTTCCTTTACTAGTTTGCTCGAAAATCTTTATCACACAAGCCCGATTGGTTACCATTTGCTAGTTTACACGAAAACACTTTGGTGGCTTGTTCATAAACCTCTACGTTCTTCACCACATAAGTGTGATCTTTGCCGCGTTCTTCGGTCCATGGGGACCCGGACGATCTAGTCCTAGCTGGTGTGTGACCGATTATCACCTCAATACTTGTGAATTGAGATGAATACAACAACAAACTTATTTGCTTGATCACTAGGAGTCCCCATTGTCCACTCTGGATTGGCGAGTCTCAAAAAACCAAACATAAATCAACTTAAAGCGTCCTCCAACAAAACTCCTTCAGTGAGATCACTACCGGACTGACCATCTGGTTGCTCGCAAACACCAAAAGCGATAAACCCTATCTCTTACTTAAACTAATCCCAAGCCAAAAACCAAAGAGATGCACACAAAATCATTGTTCCAACTACATAAATATGCCGAGAAGAGCAGGTAGTCATTGGAATAAATTCTACATGCGCAGTGATGATCACCAGATCAGCCGCTGGTACACATCGTTTCAGTTTTACTTCAAGTCAAAATTTTAAGCTTATAGAAAATATATTAATATCATCTATATAACTAAATAAATGCAGCATCACGATCATGAATATATTTCATGATGGTTTTAATAAAACTATATAACATATTGTACTCCCTCTGTCCTAGATTACAAGTCTTTTGGTTTCTCTATCATTTTAGCTTTTCTAGATCAGCTAATTGAAATTAAAAAAAGGGGGGGGGTAAAAGATCAGCTAATTGAAGATGCTTGCAAAGATACGGAAATCAAATATCATATTTAACATATGGGGGAGGAACAAACGACTTTCAGAACCAACCATATGTCGAGTTCGGTAGCTTTTAAAGAACGAAGAAATGGGAGAACCTAAAATTATTAGATGAGGCTCTAGACAACCAGAAATAGCAACACTACCTTTTAGGAAAAGCAACAATCCATGATCTTATAGTGAACAAACATCGACGTGCAGAACGTATACTCAGCAGCCAACAGAAATATAGAAATGAGCCATATCCAAATGACTTCATAAAACGGTTGAAAGTGATTGGTGTTATGGTGTATGAGACACCAGCATCCCAGTTCTTTGATTTCTAGCTCTCTTCATGTGAAATGTGGTTACTTTGGCAGCGCAAAACTCTCAGAGTGAAAAAAACAAAGACTATGTGATTACAGTTTGCTGTACAATTATACAACATGAACTCTTTTGAGTCATGAGTTTTGTGGTGGTTTGGATATGCCCTCTGATTCAAGAGACGAACTCCTGAACCCCACTGGGCCTTGAAAAGAGCAAGGAGAAACCGAAAAGCCGAAAAAGATTGGTAAGTTGCTCAGCAGCTGCATGTTACCTTTGGATCAGCATTCACAATTAAAGGCAGAGCTAGGGAAACATCTATTGTCGGGTGCTATCTTTCTAATGCTTATCTCGCTAATTGCTCGGGCCATGTGAGGGGATATATGTATTCGGTCCATTAGGTTAACTTTGGGGGCCTCAAGAATAGCCTTTGGAGGAGAAACTGCATATTGGATTGCCCAAATGGCAAGAGGCCGCATGTACACGAGGGATCTATAATGCCCATCTGTGGTCCATCCTTCTGGTGTTTGGAACCAATACCTGCAGCACCGCGGTAAACCCATGTTATATATCTCATTGGTGAACATGACTCAACAAACACTACTCAAAACTTCATTTGATTAGAGACAATTTGGCATGCGTTACCCGAAAAAAGTAAAAGTAGACTGCCCTAGACAGATTTGGGAATGACATACAATAAGCAGCACTAGAAGCATCTGATTCCTCGGTTTCTAATGGAATATAACAGAAGCAACCAAAAAGAAAAGATAACAAATGCACTGCTAAGTTAATATGAAATAAGAAATGCACTGCAAAGTTAATGTGAAAAGCTGCATCACTGCAAAATCTGAAATTGCTCAACAATGTATGAGACAGGGCATACCCATATCCTTCTTCTGACCATCCGGCAATAAAAATTCCTTCTGCGGTTGTAAAGCCTTGATGCTCCATTCCATGGAGCAGCATATTTGCAGCAACAGCATATGTAACACCAGTCCAGATTTCACGAGATTGCATACATGTCTCATCCACCTTTCCCTTTGGAGTCATACCATTTACAGCTCCCATCCGTCCTCCTTTAACCTTCATCACATTGAATTCAAATATTTTCTGCAGAGCAGTTCTTATCTTGTGCTCGTCGAAGAGCGGGGGCAAGCCTGACGAGGCAGTATACCACTGTCCTGCCAGCTGATCAGCCTGAATGGATCTACTGTTGCTACTTGTGCCGCTGTCATAATTGAAATATGACCCATTCCATAACTTTGCCTCATATACTGCTTTGGCTTTTATGAACTTGAGCTTGTACTTTTCAGCAAAGTGACGATCCCCAAGACGATGAGCCATTGTAGCTGCAGCTTGAAGTGCAGCAAGCCATAGACAACCACAGTAAGCACTGATTCCGTGAACAGTCCAAGCATCATAGGTTTGATCAGGAAATCCATCGTTCTCAATGAGACCATCACCATCACGGTCAAATTGATCCATATAGTCCATAGCAGCACAGACTGCAGGCCAAACATCTCGACCGAATTGCATATCACCTGTAGCAGCGAAGTCTCTGTATATCTGGAGCACAAATTTGGGGTTCAAATCTTTCCATTTGCTTGTATCGTGTATGTTATATGCATTCATTTCATGCCACGGATCATGCGTTCCAAGGTCATGAGGCACAGCACCTTTAACCTTGGATTTCTGATGTACCATCAGCCAAAAATTTTACTTTAAATGCCGATCTTCATACAGCACAGCATTGGCAAAATCACGTTGGATACTCAACTCTATTTTGGGAACAAATCAAGGAGAGCAAAAGATGCATAGAAATGCACATCATATGTGTTCCACATGATGTATTCCACTCCTTCTAGATACAAAAACTTGCCAACATGTTCAGGGCCATCCTTTGAAATCAAGTAAGGAATTGGCTCTTCTGACTTGAGTCCATTGATTTGTTCTTGCATTTGTGACCCATGAACTGCTGCAAACTTTGATACACTGCGATCATCACCATTAGTCATGTAACTACCATGAGGTACTTGCTCCACTGTCAGGTTGACATGGCTATCTTTAACAGATCCCTGCTTGGTGTCTTTAGTACCCCTCTTTGAGGATTTCTGCTGATTAGAACCAGGACTGTTTTTCTCATCAATTGCTGGGGGTTGACCATCTACATGATCAGAAGGAAAAATATAAGGTTCCTTGCACTCAAAAGGAAAAGGAGTAGACATTATAAGCTAAAAGAAACTCAGATGATGGCAACTTTAGATTGTAGAACAGAAGTAATTATACCAAAAGTAAGAAGAAACTATCCCCATGACATTCAAAAGTAATGAGACGAGTGGTGATGTGAACAAGCAACTATAAGAAAGTTACAGCATACCTGTCCAAACGGTCCCCCCAGCTACCAGAAAGTAAAGCTCATTAAAAAGAGTGAACTTATACCTGCAAGCATTTTGACACCCAAACATTCTACAGTTAAATTTCATTTTCTTCTCTACAGAGGAAGATGTGGACTAGTAAATTTCTTGAGGGGCAACAACAAACTTAATATAGGAGCAATAGAGGTAGAGTATATTACCATTCTGGAAGTCTTTCATCCTTGAGTATGGGGTTTTGCCACTTCTCGATTTCTTCTTCCCAAAGTTTATATTCTGAAAACAAGGAAAAAGAATCCAGGAGCATAGGTCAGAATGTAGAAGACTGAAAAGTAAACTAAATCAGTAACTCAAGGGCCAATGTTGCACATCTCCCTGTAATATCACTACAATCTTGTTTTCAACATATGACTGTATTTGGAGGTAAAATACTCCATCCAATATAAAAGATGATTATTGTAACATGCGGAAGTGTTTTTTATAGTCCTAGCAAATATTGTAACACAAGATGCACCTTAAAGTTAAATAGGTTGTACTGTTTCCTTATCACTTTTAGCCTTCTATTTTCTTTTAGGCTTCACAGCTTGGTTTGAATCTTTTCATTTATATATATAATTATCACATCACAGTAGGGCTCTCCCCTAGTGCATTTACCTAAAAAAACAGATTAAGAAGTCAAGAAACTGACAAAAGAAAAGCATACTTGTTAAGGCATCATGTACCAAATTAACAGCTGATTTCTCAGAAGTTCCATAGAATTGGGCGTACCTCCTGCAACATGAAATCACATTTATGAATTATCCCATTACAGTTAGAATACACTACAATGCACATTAACGTAACTAATTACAACTTTTCAAGAACTTCCGAACGCCAAATATTCAGTTGTGCAAACCCAGAGAAGGCTGAAACAAAAAAGAAACTATTGTACTGGGGACATTCGGATATGGTCAGTACTTAAGTGTGCCCAAGTCATGTGTGTAATGTGATAGGCAACTAAATTGAGACACACACATCATTGCTCCTATGAGACATAGTATTTTATAAGTTGGATTTGCATCAAAACAAGTCTTGTATCAATAAATACAGATGTAAACAGAATCAAAAGGTGTCGTCTATATTGACAACAAGGGGACACTAACCTGTTATATGTGCATCCCTTTTGAAACTTTACTTTAGGTGAGGACCAAGCCAGAGCAAACGCAACAGTACATCTACCATGTGGCTCTACCCAAGTTGAGGCTGAGACAGCTGCACAGAGTTTCTGTCCTGGAGAAGAAGACATACTGGAACCAGAACTGAAATTTTCCCGATCGAAGTGACCGTTCTGAATGTTAAATAAAACAATTAGGCCCTGTTTGGATCCTTAGAATTGAATTCATTTTAATAATTATAATTTAGGCACAGATTAATTAAGCTAATAAGTTTGTATATGCAATATATTTTTATATTATTGGTAGCCATACAAGGGAGATACTTATATGTTGCATTTCTACTGTAGAGAAGTGAGTTGAATAGTATGCTATAAGTTGCAGAGTAGAAATATAGCATGGTGATCTATAGAATCAATTTCCATCTCCCACCCTACGAATTTGAGATAGGCTTATTTGTGAGCTTGGAAAAGTTGTGGAATGTTAAATTCCAAGCCAAATAGCCTAATCCATTAAGTAAATTTCAATTCCTTCAAAATCAAGGGATCCAAAGGCCCCTTAAAGAATCAAAATGGGAGCATGATAAGAAAGATAGGACTATTATACCTAAGAGAATGTCATAGAACAGACGGTATGAAAAATCATATAAACAAAATGTTCAGACAAGGTTGAAGTAATTACCTGTAGCATGGTGTTCCACATTTCCTTTGCGGAAACATGGTTTTCTCCAGAAAGGTCAAACACTGGCAAGACTGTCACATTCACATTCTGAGTTTCATGAGCAGCAACAGCAAAAGTGACAGGTGGGTTATCCTTAGCTGTTCTGCAAAAATATAACAGCTTGTCAGCCTCTATAACATATCATAAAAAAGATTCACTAATTTGCAATCATCAACTCGAAGAGGAGACAATCAAAACTTGCTTGTGATGCAGAAGCACTCCTGATACGCCATCTTCCGCACTGCCCATATTAGATTAAACTATGAGTACAAACAACAACAACAACAACAACAAAGCCTTTTAGTCCCAAGCAAGTTGGGGTAGGCTAAAAAGAACGAACAAGTATAGGTTATATCTACTGATCTACTTACATGAAGGGCTCATTGTAGTGGCCTCCTGAATTATGTGAAAAGCCTCCAATAGAATTCTGTCATTAAGAAAATATCACTAAAGGACACTTTGAGTGAATAATAATTTAATGCACAGTGGGATTTGACTTCTGTAATATTTCAAACCTAGATAGTACTCCCTCCGTTCCAATTTATAGGTCGTTTTAGCATTTCTAGATATACAACTTTTATTATGTATCTAGACATCGCACATGTAGGTTCATAGCAAAAGCTATGCACCTGGAAAAGCCAAATAGACCTACAATTTGGGACAGAGGGTGGTATCTAATATCTTTTTGCAACATAGGGTATCCTGAATTGAGCATAAAGCAATGGCGATAATGAACCTCAAACTTTAGAACGGATCATAAGGGTGATAATCCCTAATGATCATTGATGAGCTGAGATTTTAACACTGGGTAAATAGATATACCCTATGCACTTCATCACGGTAGTAAAACCGAAATAGCTTAACACAAATTTTGCATCAGATAGTGCACAAAATAAAATAAAAAAACATAAATATACAGCACAATTAAAAAAAAAACTTTAGATTTGTACTTACCGCCCATGTCATTAACAGGCTTACTTTTGCACGGTCTCTCCCAGTGTTTACTAGCTGTAATGAACAACCAAATAGAAAGGCTGTCAGGTAACTTACTGGATCAAAAGGATATTTTAATTAATATCAAAAGCATCTAAAACAAAAAGAAAAATTCAATCGGCAGATAGACGACAATTATTTCATATTCCACTAGTTCTAAAATATCCAAAAAGGTTTTACACAGCGGCTTGCTGACTCGCCATACGTGATCTCCATTTTAAAGGAAATATCTTGCATAAAGATGGCACAGTAGGCTTTTCAACACGTCTTGCTAGGAAATAGGAAACAGGAAGGTACAAAATGTAGACCTGCAACAATTTTCAGCTTAGCATAAAAGGAACTCCATTAGCCACTTACAGTATACACAAACACAGATGTTGGAAGGCTGCTATCCTTGTAATCATGAGGAATGAAAGGTGATATTTGACGACATGAAATTTTAAGGTCTGGATCTGGTTCACCTACAACAAATTATTAAGAAAAAACTTAAGGGTCGAAAACACTGTGCTATCAACACATAGCCACCTTATTCAATTACAGTGCCCTATTAAAAACAACAAAGTCTCTTGGTAGGCGCAATTTCAAAAAAAAAAAAAAATCCTTGTGTAGGTTGCAAATTTAAGCAATGTTACCATAGATCTACAATGGCATACCATCATAAACAGTCCATGCCCGAGGGAACAATGCATGATAGGTCGAGTGTTGACCACTCAAATTCCAGTCCCATGAAGAAATTCCAGAGTCACTATTTTTCCTGAAAATCACATAAAACATCAATTAAGGTACCTCTACGGAAGAGATAGCATGAAAAGCACAAAATCTGACCAAGTTGTTAATCTGATCAGCATGTCTTGTCGCACCAATACAGTACCTTACTTGAGCCAAAACTAAATACCATAATTGCAATATCTATATTATCGTTTAGAACCTAGAGGGAGTATATTGACCTTCAATCGCCAAGTTGGCATAACCATAACACAATTTATGGATACAGGATGAAAGTTGTTCGGTATATATAGATTTCAAGAGGTAAATATGGAAATAGAGATACAGGCAAATTGGGAAGGATAGGCACAAGGACATAAAGTAAACAGTAGCTTATACTTGGGCGAATGTTTCTGTGCATGATTTTAACATGATAATCTGCTCATAAGATGGCAAGTTTTAAGCACACAGAACAGGATGGTGACTTACTTCAGACCTTCATGATGTCCAGGAGCCAAAACTGACGAGTATTTCTTATTCCCCCCATCTCGAGATACAAATATCTGGAAAAAACAGTATATTTAACTGTTCATGCATTGAACCTTAATGTGAAAAATTAATACTTATAGTAACACTAAGGCCAAAATATAGAAAAATTTTGCAGCACTAGGTGTAAAATTGTAATCTACCTAAAATATAGCACAATCAATCATATGATCTTAATTAAGTGTGTAGAGAAATTGGAATAGGTACGTCTAGAGTTATTGTGCCTACTAAAGAAACGAAATGCATTATCAAAGAATGAAGGTAGGTACGTGGAAGGAGCATGACCTAAAGTTACTATGCCTACTAAAGAAATGAAATGCGTTATCAAAGGTATGCATAGCAAAAGGTCAAGAAGCATAGCTAGACAAAAAATGCCCCCAGCAACCATAGTTCATATATCAGTGAAAAAAGAAAGTGTCACCAGCCCACCATCAAGTGTCAACTGTGAAGATTAAGCAACCTTCCCACACATCATAACTTTGGTTGCATGCAACCATTGAGAAAAGGCAGTGTTATGCCAGCTTAGCAAAGAAATATATTCTTACCTCGCTCCCAAAAAATGCAGTGCTCACATACTATTCAAATATGATAACCCATTTGCGAGTGGAACTTAAAACGTGTTTGTTTAATCAACTTTGAGCATCTATGATACTCAAAGGGACATATCTTCATACACATCAAGATTCAAGAGTACAGAAAGCATTGCACACATATATCATACAGCAATCCGAAGTCTAATAGCAAGCAACAGCAAGATAAGATAGAAGCATACAGAGAACTGGTTCTCCATGACCGGCGAACTCTCACACAGACCAGGTATGATGTGCCAATTCTTGAACTCTCCCCTGAAACCTCTAGAAATGCTACCGCTCCTGCAAAACCAATCTGCTGATATCAAGGCAAAGTTCTCCAGAATGCACCGATGTATGAAGTTCAGATAAGCAATGGCATTAGCACACACCCCATCCCACCAAGTGGCACACCCTGGGAAGCTGACGGTTTACAGCGCTCTTTTGTGAATGGATCGATCGGAGCTTTCTGCAAGCACAACAACAGATCACCTCCTGTCAGCACAGTTTTTGGATCCATTCGTGTTTTGACGAAATCATGCACAGGAACAGCTGATGTCACCCGTCCATGTGACGCCTCCTCCCGAACATACGACCAGAGTCTCAGGCCAAGGCTCATCTGAAATTGCGGGAGCAGAACTTAGCAGGTAGCACCAACAACTTTGAACTAGAGGAACGAACAGAAAGCACACGTCCTAAAACACCCAACACAGAGGGCCGAATCCGTGAGGCGTCCATACCATCCTCATTGCCTCCATGAAGGTGACACTGAACTCCTTGAGAATGTTAGCGTGGCTGTTGAGCCGCCTCCGCCAAGCCTGCTCCGGCGGCGCCCCGCCATCGAAATCCAGCTGCAGCGAAGTAAGTTCCCAACGCCCGAAGCGTCACATCAGACCATCAGCAAACAAACTGAAGGAACACGAGAAACAAAACGAATTCGCGAGCGAGCGACGCAGACGCAGAGCCAAAAGTGGGCTGGCTCACCAGCTGCAGCGCGGTCCGGCCGACGTACTCCTCCGCCGGCCACGAGTTCTTCCGGCAGAGGAAGATGTGGCCGCTCACCATCGCGCCCGCTCGCCTCGGAATGCTACTTGCCGCTTCTCACTCCACCCGCGTCCCGTCCGCGGTCACTGCCGCAGCCCCACCGACGCGATCCTGCCCGCGCCGTGCGCCGCCGATCGGGGTGCGCGCCCCCCTGGTTCCGCCGGCCAATCCAGAAGATTCGCGGGCCGGACGCCCTCCTCATGCGCATCCCCGCGGCGACCGGGATCCCCGGCGGCACCCCTCCTCATCGGCCCGCGCGCACCCGCAGATCGATTCGGCCGGCGCCCTCGGGATCGGCTGGTCGCTTCCGCGCCGCGGCCGCGCGCGGGAGCGACGAGGCGGCGCACCGGTTGGATTGGACCGAATCCAACCGGTTAGTATCGCTCTCCTGCTCCTCCTCTTCTACTTTTTTCCTCTTCGCGGGCTGTCGCCCCGCTGGTGCGCTGCGGAGTCGTTCTCGACGAGCGGAGAAGGTGCGAGGAAGTCGACGGCGCACGCACTGGTGCCCCGGAGGGTGGAGGGCTGCACTTCTGGAAGGAGAAGAAGAAAGTGGTTACAGCCTGCCTACCGGCCACGCTAGTACTAGTAGTTGGGTGGCGGTGCCAATTCGTGAGTTGGGGCGGGCGGTTTACTAACGTCCTCTCCTCATTTTTGGACGGCAGTTCGTGGTCTTCGCGTCAGAATCCAACGAGTTCAGGTGGATTTTTGTGGGCGGAAGACGGATGGGCGGAGCCGCGGATGTGTCCGGCCAGAGTTATCGAAAGACGCGTAACGGGAACCGAACGAAACCTGTATGATTGGCACAGCTTATATGCCGCTTATCATCAAAATAAGCTAAAATCAATAGGTAAACGCTACGTTTTTCAGCAACTTATTCTAGCTACGCTTATTTTAACTGCTCTCATCTATACTAAAAAGCAGAAGTTGGATCAGATCAGCTTATTTTAACCGCTACTTTTACTCTATTTGTGCAGCTTATCTGGGAAGCGCTTCCCAGATAAGCTGTACCAAACAGGGCCCTAGACTGAAATCGATGATGAATGCTACACGTACTAATAACGGATCGGAATCCCCGATTTGCCTTTCGAGACGAGAGGAATGGAACAAATTCGTGTGGTGCGGACCGCTTTTGCTAAGGGACCGACCTTATCGGGTCCCGGACTCACGGTGCGTAATCACGTTGATTGAGTTAATTAATCTACCATATCCGGTCTGTTCGCTGGTTGGTTTCTGAACTGTTTGGGCTGGCTGATGCTGGTTTATTGTGAGAGAAAAACACTGTTGGCTGGCTGGTTTGGGCTGGCTGAAACCAACAAGCGAACAGGCCGATCAATCGAACTATTTCAACAGTACTTTTTAGTGAACGAACAACGTTTTCTCTCACAATAAATCGGCATAGGCCAAATTTCATCGAAAAAGAGTTAATTAATCTACTGATCTCTAATGTGGAGATACCACTAAAAATCTGTGTTGAAAATATCTTTCTGGTTGAGGAGTAATTTAGCTTGAGAATAGAACTCAAACCGAACACCCTTATCCCATAATAGAGAGAGGAGGATCAGCGGTCCTCGGCTCCTGGGCGACCGTAAGGGCGAGCGAACCCTGGTGTCATCGCCGGCGGGGGACGCCATTCCGAGAGAGAGGGCAAGGATTCCCAACCACCTCGTTGCGTCGGTGAGGTCTCGATGCCTCTGCATACCGGGGAGTCGTCTCCGACTCGGGATTCTGCCGACCGACTCTCCTCGGCAGAGCTTCTCTGACTTCGCGAAGAACTCCTTCGTCTTCGAGATGCATGGCGGGCTTCCAACATCTCGCGTGAAGATGAGGCAAGGGTGCCTATTGTGAGGCCACACCTGCATCCCCCTCTCCTTCGCTGACTTCATCCACCATCGTCCGCTCTTCCTCGACGACTTCATCTTCGGTGCCTGCTCCGGGATGGAAGCCAATCCAGAACTAGTTCATCGACGACAAGTCGAGGGGAGCGAAACCGAACAGAGTGGATTTGGTCAAGTTTGTGGCGGATTTTTCGACGATTGAAGAGAGTTCTCGTCGGCGAATCAAGGGGAAGGTCTTCGGGTTTCCGGTTGATATCAAGCAACGTGGATTCGAGCGGTTGGAGAAGACGAATTCATTCCCGTTTGAGGTCATAAGTTGTGATGAAGTGAAGATCAAATCAGTCCCCATTAGCTTCCACTGGGCCTCCAATGGCGACACGGATGAGGATCCCCTAGTGGCGGGAGGAAGAAGACAAGCTCCAAATCGCATTGTGCTTAAGGGACCTACGCGTCAGAGACCCTGGTTCCGCCCACCACCCCTGGTGCGAATTGTTCTTGGGATCCTAGGCGTGCACGTGTATGAAGGGACACAGCGTCGCTCATTAAGGTTTGGAGGTGGCGGAAGGTCGGTGCAAGAAGGGAATCGAGTTACCCCAACCCTTTTCCACCGCAACCCCACCGAGATCGTAGTCGTCCCTATCCTTGGGGTCTCCTAACCCTAGGTCGACTCCACAATCTGAGCACCCAATCCCTCTAGCAGATCTAATCTCTGGAGGTTCATCGGGCACTTGTGGAAAGGTTCACCCTCTAAATCCTTCTTCACTTCATGGTTCGATCGGAACCTGCGGTCATGATCCCGAAGTCAAGATGCATCCAGGAGAGGGCCGTGTAACACCCGGTGTTATGCCAAACATTTAAACCTTCGCAAATCATGCATATTATGCATCATCAAGCATCATAATCATACATGCCTAATCATGTAAATAATAAGCTGAAACCATGCTTGAAACATATGAAACATGCTCGTGAAACATGAATGTTGCATACACTTGTTTAAATTGTTTTTGCCCTAATTATGCTTGCTAGGTTAGGAAAACATGTTTGGCTATAATTGTAAATCATCTAGAATTATTTAGCACAGCTTTTGGAGCAAAGTTTATATTCAAAATTTTGCCAAATTATGCTTTTAAAAATAATTCTTCAAAAATTGGGTTTTGAATTATTATTGATTTTTAATTGTAATTCAACATCTACTTGGAATTTGATTTTGGTCATAAAAGCAAAGTTGCAGAGGATTAAATTCTAAGCAACTTTTATTTTTGGGACATTTTCAAAAGAAGTCATTTTCTTGCTCAAAATGATATTTGAAAACTGGTATTTAAAAATTCCTTGAAAATAGGAATTGAAAAAGGGTTCTCTCCTTTCTGGCCCACGCTCCACTTGCATGCCGCAGGCCATGCCAGCCTAGCCCAACTCGTCGTCTGGCCCGCCTCGCACATGGCCTGCTTTCGCCCGGCTTTGCCTCGGTACTTGCGCTTGCGCCGATCAGCGTCAAAGCTGGCCTTGTGTTGCCATGGTGCGCCATCTTGGCCGACGACCACGTGCAATGGCCCCCGACTGCCTCACCCTCCCTGTGCTCCGCCTTCAAAGCTATCCGAACGCGCGCACACCACTCCACCCCGCACGCCATCCCGTCTCCTCCTCCTTCTCTCCAGTTCAGAGCTCCGCGGGAGCTCTCGCCACCGAACGCCGCCGCTGCCCCACCGGCGACGTACCCCTCCTTTCTCGCCTTCTTTCTTCGATTTTCGCCGCCAACAGCTCCGCCTTGGGTCCCTGCCTCGCTTGCGCTTCGTCATGGCCATTGCCGTCGAGGTAAGGCGAGCTTAGCGCCTCCTTCTCTCCCATGAGTCTTGGCCCACGGCCGTGTGGTCAAATCATGCCGCCGGGAAGACCAGCGCCGCCCTCGGTCGGTGCGGCTCGGCGTGGTGTGTGCACTGGCACCGCTGCGCCATCACCGGGAGAAGCTTCATGGCCGGTGAGCTTGCGGTCGTGCGGGCTCCTCCCCATTCTAGGTCAGCGACCCGTGGCACCCTGAGGCCCAGCCCGCGATGTGGGTGGAAATTCCGGGTGCTCAGCACCGGGTGCACCCAACAATTTTGTCGGCTAGTTTTAAAAAGGAATTAAGAAATGAATTTTCAGATTTCTGTTAAATACTTTGGAAAATGTTTGTGTACTCATTTTGGCTCTAAATTTGTTGAAACAAATTTTGCTAGGTTTCTTGTCACCAGATCTACATGATAAAAATATTGCATGTCATTTTTAAGATACTTTTCTGTAGAGCTTTATTTAATCCTTGATATTGCTGATATCTTATAAAATGTGTAGTAAAACTTATATGCTTTAGAAAAATATGATTCCAAGTTTGTTACTCTTCTTGTGTACTGTACTTTCTGTGAAAAATATATTCCATGCATGTCCTGTAGAAAAATTATAAGGTGTAGTTCAAGTGCCTTTTATGGCTGATTTTTGTTATTTTTGCTAGAGAGCAAAATTTGTATAAAGCATGCATGTGATAATTTTTGTACAGTGATTATTTACTGTTTAGAACCTAGGAAAAATACTAAACCTGTTGTTTGACACTTTTCATAATACAAAGTATTTTCATGTTCATAATTATGCCATAACTTGTTATTTTTGTGTAGGCTATTCTACTTATCCAAATGCCATAAAAATCTAATGGTAGACTACTTAGGTTAGTACTGTGCTATGGTAATTTTCTAAGATTTTTCTAAGCTATAAGTATAGATGTTGTTATTCAAACCTATTATTAACTAGGGTTAATCAAATGTTGCTTTGTGTATGCTTAAAAAATTAGTGAGGCTTTGATGTATCTTTGAAGCATTTAATGAGATGTGTTGACTTAGCATATTAGTAGTAGAAGAGAATACAATAGATGACATGTGCCTGTAGTACATGTTCTTGGATGATGTTGACTACCTTGCATTCAAGCATATCCATTGTGCTCATTTCATCCGATGCACCTTTTGCATAAGCACTTACGCACATGCATCATACAGGATCGCAAACCGAGAACCCAGTCGTCGTACCCGAGGAGCCCGAGGAGCAACTCGAGGTGCAGCCGCAGGAAGTGACCGAAGCAGACGAGGAGGACGTTGAGGAACTTCCGAAGTGCCCCGATCACCGCCCGAGCTCCTTCGAGAGAGGCAAGCCCCGGAGCATTTTCTC